TTGGTTAGGTTTTCTGATGTGGGTTTCTTAGGTTTCGAGCCTGCCTCCTTTGAGGAAGCCGTGGCTGCCTGTAGCAGTGTCTGTAGTTATGTCAATGCATCTTCCCCATCGAGAGCTCAGGCTGCCGATCCCTTGAAACAAGCAACCTCCCGGGGAAGGATGACATGTTTTACTGCTTTTCAGATAGCACTCCTCTCCAAACCACATCCCTTTGGGTATTTGCTTCGCATCGCATTTCTCTTCTCACTTGTCAGCCGTCGAAATCACATCTACTATTTTTAGTTGCCCAAAGCTTCTTTGCCTGTTGGAGGTGTATATTTAGACACTTGCTGAGCTGTGTCCCCTGTTTGCCAGGCACTGCTGCACCTAAACTGAAATATTTCAAAGCTGTGTGTTCCGGAAATGCAGGAAAAATGGTTTGTGGGGAAGTCAGAGCTGTTTGCAAAGCTGAAGGAGCAGAAAAAGGATGTGAGCTGAGCCCATCTCTGCCGAGGCGATGTGTGACTCAGGAGGGAACAAGGCATGACGTGACGCTCTTAATTTCCTCACTTCCCTCGTCTTCAGCAAGACATTGGTGATGAAGGAGTGATAAAATCAAATATCTATTTTTCATAAGCCTGTACATCAGAAATACCAAAGGCGGCCCCTCACGGATTATGGTTCTTTCTAGCAGCTCCTTGCTAGCGCTGTGTGTCCGAAGGCTCAGCTGTGAAGCCAGGAGGGTTGCTCAGTGGTAGGTGCCCTCGGCAGTGCCTGGCAGGCGTCGATGGTTTCCCTGCTCCGTCTTACTCTGGCCTTTGGGCTTGATTTCCATGCTACGGACTGAACATTGCGCTCGTAAAGCAGAGCCAGGCTTCTGTCCCCCACCCGTTCAGCCATTCAGGAACAGACAGGGGTAACGGCGCACTGACCGTTTTCATCACATCCTCAGCAGGACCTGAAATTGTGAAGAAAAGCCACAAAAACTGATTTTTTTTGTTTCCCCTCCTCAGGCTAACTTTGAGCTTCCTCTACCAAATGGTCTGTGTCATGACTTTGTCCTCTCCCATCTGAGTATCTGCCGCCTGTGCTCTATTCCTGCACCAGCCTGGCGAGCGGGCAGGGCACTGTGGCTTAGGGAAGAGCCTGTTTTATTCAAGGAAAAGAATTCCTTTTCATATTCCAATATCCTGTCTGCTCCCGGGCGCTGGGTTGAGTGTCTGCGAAGCGGTCGCGCCCGCGAACTGGAGCCGAGTCAGCACATCTGGTTATCGAGGCTCGTGCGGTGGAGCTGCCTCTGCCTCTTGCCAGGCGGGATGAGGCATTAGCAGGACGATGCCTGGCAGAAAACAAAGACGTGCAGGCGCTCTCCTTGAGAGATGGATGCTTCCCCCATGCTGGGGAAGAATGAACTGTGCCTTCCACTCGGATTGCACCAAAGAAGGAGTTTTGCCTGCAGCCTCTTCCAGTTTTACCAGTTTGTTGGGTTTTTTCCCCAGTTTCTTCCAGTTTTCCTGCACAGCTGCTGGAGCATGTGGTGGTGCCAAGAAATACAGAGCAAAGGAAGGATCATTGCGTGGAGTGGCAGGGTTTTCCTGCCCTGAAATCGCCATGGGATGCTCTGCAGAGCTGTGGATCTCTGTGCATCCTCCTCACAGGCACATCCGTAGTGCCTGGACCGTGGACGTGGTGCTCTTCTTCTGTTGCTGTCGCTTTTCCATCCGTTCATGGAGAAGCAAATGAACGTTTGTCCTCTGCAAAGCCCAGAGAGACGAAATATGGCCATATGTTGATTTCTGTGTAAAATTTGCCTATCTGTTGCAATGTCATGTTTAAAAGGATAAAAAAAAAAAAGGGAAATCCCATTTGCTGAACTGAAATATGTGCCCTTGCCTCTGCCTGAGGATGGTTTTGACCCTAATCTTTTCCATTTCTCTTGACCAAAAAAAAAATCCCATAGTTGTTTGAGGCAGAAAATGAGTAGGATGGCTTGTTGCAAGAAGAGTGTCTGGTTAATGAATTCTTGCGGAATATTGTTAAACATCTGGTGAGCATACAGCATTTCTGCATGCTAATATTTTGATTTTTGTCCTCGGTGAAAAAGCATGTCTCAAAGACGTGATCAGCTCTTCAGGGGAACCGCGCTGCTGAATCTAATTCTTTTCCCCAATGGCAAAATTCACAGAGACCGGCAATTCTGCCAGATCTGCAAAGTCTGCCGCGAGGCTTGAGCGCGCTTTGGTTTGCCGGGTGGTCCTGGGGATCTTTCTGGCAGGGATGGCTGTTGCTGCTGGGACCGCCTGCTTCTCTTTTTGATAAGGTTAGCTTAGGGGAAAACTGCTCCCTTGCTGGAGAGCCGGGCATTCCTCCGGCAAAAACAAATTGAAATCGGCTACGATGGATTTTCCCATTTGGTTGTTTGGGGTTTTTTTGGTTTTTTTTTAAATATTCACGTTTCCACTACAGGCAGCAGCGGTCCTGTGGGAAGGAGCATGAGTAGGGGCAGCAGCCTGTGAAAGAAGCTTCTTGGATTTTTCCAACCTGGTGAAGATTTTTTTTATCCTGGTTGAAGTGCAGTTAAAGCAGGTTGCGTGCTGCTCCGTCCGTGGGCTGTCAGCCCTGAGAAAGCCTCCAGCCTGGAGCCGAGTTGCCGATGGACTTGTAGTTGCTTTTAAACTGTAATTAATTCACAGTGACAAAGGCTGGTGGCCTTTTAATCTTTTAAGCTGGGAGAAGGAGATACATGTTTTAGTGAGGGTTTGCGCGGGTGATTTATATGCAATATTTTGCAGGACTGTGGTTAATTGTTCCCTTTGACCCTCCTGGAAGGATTTTTAACCTCAGTGCCTTAATCTCTGCTCCGTCAGAGTGGTTGCCCTTGAGTTTTTCTTTCCTCCTTCAGAATTTGAGGGTGGCTTTCATTTCATAACTTTTCCTAGCGCAAAGCTCTGCTTCTCTTACCCCAACTTCTCCCAAAATGCAAGACTCGGGTGTTTTTCCTGAAGCCAGGAGTGCTTTGTAGGGAGCCAAACTTGCCTCCTTTGGGGACGAGAGGTGGGGTGCCTGGTGGTGTCTTTGGCTGAGCAAAGAGCGCAGAGCTGCTCTAGCAAAGAGCAAACCAGCGGGAGCTTATTTGCCCCTGCCTGCCGTTTTTCAAAACAGTTTTCAGTGGGAGCATTTTTTTCCTTCCTCTCCGAGTTGCTGTGTCCTCCTGAACCCTCTCCCCAAGCTCTCCATGGAGTCAGCATTCGCAGCTCACCGAGGGACCGAGCAGTGCGTTATCCGTCCCGGGAACCTGGCACCTCTCGGATACAATTCACTTGCGGAACGTTGAACATTTTCTCAGCTGCTCTTCAGTGTCAGTAGTGGGAGATCTTTTTTGTTCTTCACCCCCACTGTCTGCACTCTGATGACAAGTATCTAGGGAAATCTGGGTTTGTGAAACGCTTGGCAGAGCATGACTTTCCTCTCTGAGCAGTTCATGGCAGAGAGCCTTGAAACTTCCTCTAATAATGTTGGGGTGTGTTTTTCTTTTTCTTTTTTCTTTTTTTCTTTTTTGTGGCTTGTGACAGTTGCTGCCCCTTGTGTGCAGAAAGAGAGGAAGGAGAAGACTGCAAGTAGATGAAATGTGGTATTTCTCAGTTTGCTCATCCCTTTATTGGCTGGAGGAGCAGCAACAAGCTGATTACACCAATTCTTCAGTGTAGGGAGCTGGCAGTGAACAGAGGTGCTGCAGGTCTTTAAACAGCTGGGATGAAAGAGAAATAAATACAGATTAATTGCTTCTGGAGGTGTGCTGGAATTGTAGCTCTCCCAAAGCAATTTAATCTTTGCTTTTATCAGTCTGAATGTGGCTAGAAAAAGCAAAAGCCTGGAGCACTGCTGGAGCAGTCTGTGGTAGCTGGAAGAGAAGCAGGTAGCAGAGGGGTTGCAGGATCCTGGCTCTGCACCCCAGTGGAGCTCAGGTGTTGGAGAATTAGGGGGGAACCCCTCCTGGTGGGCTCCCTGTGGGTGCTCTGGTCTCAGGGCAGGAGTGACCTGGCAGGGCTTTGGCCATGTTACCCTGGAGAAACATCTCTTGCTTTAAAAAGTGATGCATTGTAGAAAGAAGAGGCAGTTGTTCGGGGGTTAATCCGCAGGAGCCCTCCCTGGCATCTCTCTCCCCTGCCTGCTCGGCTGAGGGCAGCTTTCAGCTCTTCTGTGCAGAAACTGGGGCATCTCTGACCCGACTTCTTTCATCTGCTTCTGAAAAGGCCTTACATCCTTCTGCTTAACATTTTGGAGGGTTATTTTGGTAGTAAAAACAAGAGCATCGTAGGCTGGGGTGAGTGGTCCCCAGGAGGTGACCTTGCCTTTGCACTGCCCTCCTTTTCGAGGGCTGTGATGAGACGAGCTGGCTGCCAGCTGCATAGATTGGGCAGCACTCTAAAAACAGCAGATACGTTTTCTTTTGATGCTCTGACCATGTTCCTGGAAGGTGCGCAGGAATCTGCTGGAAAATGAAGTTGGGACTGACACACCTGTTCGCGTAGGCTCGCCCTAGCGGGGCCAGGAAGTACCTCTCTGAGACCAATAATTTCCATCTCAAAAGTTTAGCCCTGAAAAATTCTGCATGAATGGCAGCATTTAAAAAAAAATTTAAAATTTAGTATAAATATATAAATGCTGTTTCATTCAGTAGCCAGGACCTATTAATTCCTGGTTTCCTTTTGTTTTGCTTGATCCTTACTGCCTACTGAAACAAAGCTTGACTTTGTTCTGAGCAGTTGTTGGGAAGTGGAGTAGGCATATATGTGTATATGTTCACACACACATCTTTTTTAAAATATAAATATATACGATTGTGTTGCTTCAGGACATGGTTTAGTGGTCATGGTAGTTTTGGGTAGATTGTTGGACTAGCTGATCTCAGAGGTCTTTTCCAACACCACAAACACAGGCCTTTGCATAGAACAGCTGGTTTTCTGATCCCTTGCAGCAGCAGCTTGACTGATGCTCTTGTTTTTATCTCGTAGGAGGAGCCGGCTCCCGCCGTGCAGGGCCGGAGGTCATCGCTCAGCTGGGTGTGCTACCTGACCATGGGTCTCCTCGTCCTGCTCCTGGGCTTGGTCTTTGCGTCGATGTATGTGTACAGATACTTCTTCATCCCCCAGGTAGGGGCGAGTCGGGAAGGACTGCTGGCTTTTCAACCTTTGAAAGAGGTGCTGCTGCTATTTATTGCTTTGCACCACAGTAACCCAGGAGCCAGTCCTCCGGGCACTGCAGGCGAGGCATGTCTTACATGGTAAGCTCAGGCTCACCTCCATGCCGACTGCAAGGAAAAGCCATCCAGAAATCTCTCTCTTTGCCTCCCTTGTGGCTTTTTTTTTGTTTGCTTGCCTTTTTTTTTTACTTTATAAAAATATCCTGCCAGTTCTACCTTTATACCTGACATCAGTGCTGTCAAGAGTAAGGTGCCTTGTTGTGAGGGTAGAGCAAGTCCTTCGGAGAGCAGAGAGGTATAAGCAAGGGAACAGCTTTTTGCAGTAGGTTTGTGTTTTTTTTTTTACATGCCTTGGCACAGTAAAACTCTGTAGGTGTAACAAAAATAGGTGCTGCTATTAATAAAGCAAGCGGAGAAGTGAGAAGTAGGAGGTGGTATGGAAGGTGAGTCCTCGACCTGCATTAAATTCTACACCTCTTCCTCCACATAGTCTTTGCAAAGCCTGGCCCAACCGAGGTGCTGGGGCTGGCAGCGTTGCAGTGGGTTGGAGTATAGGGAGTGAGACAGGGCAGAGCTGCTTTTAAAGGAGGAAACTGCTGAGCTCAGTGGCTTGCTGAGCATTTTTTAGCCAAGAAACCCCAGAGTGCTGATCTGCACTGAAGCCCTCGTTCTGCTGCAGAGCAGCTATTAGTGAATGAGTTCTCCCAGGACTGCCGGCTGCCTTCGCCGCTGCAGCCGGCACTTACCCACTCAGCAGTATAATCTTTTTATACACTCCGTAAATTTTCTTGCTGTCAAATTAATTTGCAATCTTTGTTTTAAAATACATGGAGGCTTAATTACCCGTGCCCATTTATGCCTGATCTGGAAAATGACAACCGTAGGGATGCTCAGCCCTCCCGCACATCGCCGTGCTGGGGTGCTGGCACCCCAGTGCAGGGCTTTTGGGGTAGACACTTCCTTAGGAGAAGCTGGCACTGAGGTTGTCAGTCCGTCACTCGGTCTGTTACCTATCCTTGTCGCATGCTGAACGGCGCTGGGAAACGCTTGCTGGTCCGTTTGAGGCCACCAGTTGTCACCCCAACTGCCTACCTGCGATCCCAAATGACAGCTCGTACACAATTACACAGAACAAAGCCTTTCAACAGGATCAGAGGAGCTTTGGGGACCAAGGCAATGGGGCCTCTACGTCTCAGTCTCCAAAGGTGCTTCGTTTTGGTGCATTTGGCATTTTAGAAATGATACTTATGTAGAAAAAGGCAGTCACTGGAAACTGTGCCTATGGAAGCATGTGAACAGCCTGATTAGGAAATGTAAGAGCCTGCAGGCAGTCAGTTTGCCTTTCTGCATTTACCCCTCGTGAAATCCCACAGGTAATCCTTTACTCCCTTTGGACTTGGCTAGCAGAAAGGGAGACGTGGTCCTTTCACAAGGGTGTTTTGCACCAGATTCATCAGGAAGGGTTTCAGGTAAAAAGACCGATCCTGAAATGTACTCAAGCATCTGTTTGAAAAGGGTGTTTTTACGCAGTAGGGGTATGTTTCTCGCTGTGTTTGCTGTAGTTGTTAGGGGGGTGTACAAGTGCTGTACCTCCACTTGGATCTCATCCCCACAGCTGCCCCGCAAGAGCGTGTTTCGCTGCGGTCTCCTTTACGAAGACTCGCTGTATTCGCCCTTCAAAGAGCAGCTGGAGTTGCATGAAGACATCAAGATTTACATTGAGGAGAACTACGAGCAGATCAACGTCCCAGTGCCCCAGTTTGGAGGGAGCGACCCTGCAGATATCATCCATGATTTCCAGCGAGTAAGGGGCTCGTGGGGCCTTTGGGGGTGTAGCACACCGCTGAGCTGGGGTGCACCAACTCAGTGTTCAGGGCCCAGCACCATCGCTGTTGTCACATATGTCAGTGATGATCTTACTACCAAGCCGTCCTCCTTCTCGGAGCCCTCTCTGAGTTTTTCCAATATGCTTGTCTTGCTCGTAGGGACGTCCTTTGACAGGCTTGTTTAAAGCAGTTTCTTGTCTTTCCCCGATTATTCCCTCTTTTCACCCCTTTTCACAGCCCCATTTCATTGCGAAGGGCTCAATTCCTTAATTTCTGTTCTTGGAACGCAGGGTCTGACAGCTTATCATGACATAACGCTGGATAAATGCTACGTCATCGAGCTGAACACCACTATCGTGATGCCTCCTCGCAACCTGTGGGAGCTGCTCGTGAACGTGAAGGTACAGCCACGGTCCTGCTGATTTGGCATGTTTGTCTTGAGCTGGCTCGTGGGTGCCAGCTGGAAGCTCACGGGAAATAAAATCTGCTGTGTCTGTGGAAGTAAGCCTTGGCCCTGCCTGAGCTGAGTCTACACGCAGAGCGAAGGCTTCAGCAGCTTTAGCTGAAATACTCATTTTGGAGACAGCACGGTGATGTTGGCATGTTGGAACAACCTGGCCAGGGTGACACAGAGAAGCAGCAGGTTTCTTCCCCTTGGTGTTCACTGATTGTAGGAATCAGGGAAAAAAAGAAAAAAAAAAAAATCCCTCCTTTCACTCTTGCTGTAGTTACCACTGCAGTTTGCCATTTGCAGAGCTGTCAGTGTCCCCTGGGGAGTACTAGACCTTCAGCTTTCACTCCTTTGGGGGAAGGAATCTGTGCCGCCCTCCCTGCTGTGCCATGAGCTGCAACCCCAGGCTTAGGCTCCTGTAGTTTTGCTCACAGCTGGCATTAATTTGGTTTAGTACCAGCAGTTTTGTTCACTTTAGAAGCCCATGCTGCTGTTGCCGTGACTGAAAGCAGTCTTCTTAAAATAGAGTACTATTTAATCTTAACAGCAGGAAAAAACCCCAGGATTTTTAAGACTGCAGAAGGTGCATATCTGTCTCAATCTTTTGCGGGTAAAGCAAAGCAGTGAGCCTGTGTCTTACACGCCCTTTTGTGAGGGTCTATTTAAAAGAAAAGGAAAAAAATCCCACAAAATCAATCTAACTCCCACTCTTTCTTAAATTCCCTTTGTTCACTTGCTGCTGTGTGCGGTGTGATGAACTTTGTAGGGGTTAAGCTCAGAGGCAAAAGGTTGTGCCTTGAGAGATGCCTGATCTCCTAGTCCTCCTCAAACTCCCGTTTTTGTTCCTAGCAGTCCTCCCAATTTCACGCTCTGTGACCATCTGGCAAATGTGCTGGGAACCCTGCTGGGATACAACACACAGTTACTTACAACTCGCTCCAAACCAGCCACAGCTTCTGACCGTGGCAGGTGACCAGTCCCTGGGGCAGAGGGAAATGGAAAAGGCAGGATCGCACAAGCTGACAGGAGAGCCCCAGAAAAAAACCTGAGAGGTTGGGAATGCCAGTCATATCCTAAAATAAGAGATGTAAAACCACAGCCGATGAAAATAATGCTTTCTCTTTCTTAGAAATTAAATTTAAAAGAGTATAAAGATGCAGTTCAAATGGCCTTATGTGTTTAGTTCTTTAGATACAGAGCAGATGTGGGCTTTAATAGCTTTCTGGTTATTGGAATGGCTGAAGTGTCTAATCTGCCTATGGAGGCTTTAACGTGCACCTTGGAGGCATTGGTTTTAAGTGTTTAGCTTGGTCTTGAGCTCAGAAAAGGCTTTTTGCCATGAGAACAAAAACAGTGGAACAGGCTGCCCAGGTAGGTTGCGCTGCCTCCTTGAAATCCTTGGAGGTTTTCAGGTTGGATAAAGCCCTGAGGAACCTGGTCTGATGTTGGAGCCGCCTCTGCTGTGAGCAAGAAGATGTGACCGGAGACCACCTGAGGTCCCTCCCCAGCTGAATTACCCCGTGATCCCCAGGCACAGCCTTGCTGATGGCCTGTGTCAGGCAGAGAGGGCAGTTTCCTCCCCGCGGCGGGAGACCTTCACCCCCTGCCGATTTGGCCCCGGGCTCTGAAGGGCTCCTGTTTGGATGCCGGATGGTCCTTGGACTTGGAGAGTTTTTGCCTTGCTCCTCTTTGCACGTCCTTCTGCCTTCTCTGCACCTCTGAATCCAGTCAAGTCCCTAATGCACGAGACCCACCTGAAAGCTATCGGTTCTGGCTGCTTCGGCTGCCCACAGCTATTTCAATCTAAAACAACGAAGCAACTGGTTTGTGTGCAAGTGTCTCTCTAAACTGTGTTGCCAAGTCGAGGATATGGCAAATCCTGAGCCCCAGCCCCAGGTGTTAATGTGACAGCTCCTGCCAGTAACTGCACGTATCACATGCCCTCTGCTGCACTCTCCCACCAAGAATCAATAATTGAATTTCTTGCAGAACTGTTGTGTTAGTGTAGTACAAATTTCCATTAATAGTCTAGTCCTCCAGCATTAGAGGAGAGCTTTATTGATCCGGTGGGGCTCTGCCAGTCCGACAGCACGGCACTAAGTTAAGACAGCGTGTTTCTAGGTACATCTCTATGGAGATAACTAGGCCTGTGGTGGAAGCTGAAGAGGTGATATTTGGAATTGCGCTGTTGTTAATTGCTTTTGCCCCGGATTGTATTTATATTGACTGGTTCTTTTATTTCTTTGACTCTTCTTAAGTGAAAGGAACCAGAGGTGAGTCTCTGCTTGATGGCCTGGTTAGCATCCAGACTGCTCAGCAGGTCTCCCCAGCTAGTAGTAGGGCACAGTTTATTGCAAGGACAGGGAACCACGTTAACCAGCCTCAGAAGGTGGACTTGGAGCCTTCAAGTAGTGCGTTTTCCACAGTTTAGCTTTCCTTGGTGCTCTGGGTCAGACAATTCCGTTTGAGGAAGAGATCGCAGCGCCGTTTGTGCTTTGTTTTGGTGGAAAATGTATCATTTCAGAAAGGGACGTACCTGCCTCAGACGTACATCATCCAAGAGGAGATGATCGCGACCGAGCACGTCAGCGACATGGAGCAGCTCGGCTCCTTCATCTACCGCCTCTGCAGCGGCAAGGAGACCTACAGGCTGAAGCGGAGGAGCGCGAGGAGACGTAAGAGCCCTGACGTGTTCTGCTGTCCTAACTCACTTTCCTCTCACATCCCAGTGGTTATTCC